TGCCTTCCGCTTGTAGCACCGATCAAAAGTGTGCCCAGGCTTCTTGCAGTACTTGCAGAAAGTTCCTTTCTTTCCGTGCTGCTCCCCTTCGGTTGCTCCAACGTAGAAGACTAATTTCTCCCGCTTGGTGTTCTTCTCGTTGTACAGGTCGATCTCCTTTTGCTCGGAGAGAAGTGTGGCGCACAGGGCCGATTCGGAGACAGTTGCTCGAGCACGGAGCAGAGATTGGCATTGACGCCAGTCGGGTCCGAGGCCGGAGAGGACCATTGAGACGAACATGTCGTCTGGGACTATTCCGCCGCACTTCTTGATGTGGTCGCGCAGATTGCGGCACCGGTTGATATATGGTCCCGCTTTCTCCCCTTGATACATTTTGACCGATGTGAGCTGGCTGAGAAGGCGACTCATTGTAACTGGATCTGTTGCCATGTATGAGTTGCGCAGGTGCTCCCAGGAGGCATACGCGGGTGCCCACTCTGATTTGTAGGAGCGAATGCCGAGCTGTTCGTCGGGGGAGAGATTTCGGAGCAGAGTGGTGTACGCGAGAAGAGATTCGTGGTAGTATTGGTTCTTCTCTTGGATGGTGCCTTTCGTTGGAAACGGTAAGCTCCCGTCGTAGTACATCCAGATTTGCGCATTTGTAGCGAGGAGCTCAAACTCGAAGCTCCAAGTGTAGAAGTCCTTTCCGTCGAAAGGAACTGATGTCTTCAGCTTTGATGTCAGAACGAATTTTGTATGTATTGTTGCAATCGTATCTGCGTGTGCGCGCTGTTAACTATCTTGCGCAGGAGCTGAAGCTTGACGGTTGTCAAACGTGAATGATCTCTCAGAGTTAACGCGACGGTCTTCTCCTGGGAGAGGAAGTCCAGCAACCCCACGTGCAAAGCTTGAGCCATCGATGCTCATGGCTTGATGGCTTTCAAGAGCATTGATGCGGGCGACCAGCTGCTCAACGAGAGCGGCGCTGACGGAGGTCACCGCAGATGGTGCAGTGGGTGTTGCTGATGGTGGGCCCGGAGATTCTGCAGTGGCTTTCCCTTCTGGAGCCATAGTGATGCAGAGTCTTTGATGATGTAAAGAATAATTTATAAGGAGTTTGTTCTAGCAAGAACAAGAACTTAGCAGGCCTTATAATCCACTCTAGCTCTCATACCATGATGTTATTACTAAAGGATCGTAGTGGATAGGATAAGGTTGCCAAGTATAAGGGAGAGAACTGTGAAGTCTCTGTAATGACCTTATCAATGAATTGAAAGAGAACAAGATTATTATAAGATAGAAGTACAAGAGTATAAATAGCAAGCCTAGCTAACCATGTACTCTGAGGGGTACATTCCCTTATTAACTGAATTGCATTGCTACAGTAACTCACGACTATTGCCATTCTAGACAGTTACCATGTTGCATTTCGCAACTGTCTTGTGCGGTTACTGGGCAGTCAAGGGTCACGACCGTTGACTGTCTTCGACTGTTGACCTTCGGGTGACCCTCGATCTTCCGCGTGCTCTATATGAGCTCATGCGGTACTGGTACAAGCATCTGCTTCGCTATGAGGAGACGCGACAGTGGAGAGCCTTCGGGAATGCTTGTGATAACCTTTCGGTTATTCCAACAATTTCTGTTGATGGAGGTAAGATAAGTGATGATCGCGGTTTTTTTGTGTGACAGTCAGACGACTTAAAGCCCGCAGCTAAAATAGTGACCCCCCCCTTCTAGTTGGGTCCACTTGAAGTCTCAAACTCATTATGGAAAGTTGAAGTGTTTTTTCCGAAATATTTTCACAGTTTTTTATCAAACAACAATCGCCGCAAGCATGGGCGAATGTGTCGCAAGTTTGCGACGTGCAAATCCCATGCACATTCCGTGCCAATTTCGACTTGTGCTTGCATGTGCAACTCAAGCAGAGTAATTGCCATTCACATGGGCCTGCAAGGTCTGCAATCACAACGTAGGAAAAACAAGAGGAAAACAACAGAGAGTTTCAATGTGACGAGATACGAGAGAGATAGGGCGACGGAAACGAGGACGCGTGCAGAGAAATGTGTGAGCAAAATCGCGGAATGGTAGTGCGCGAGGGTGACGAGATGGGTGATGGGAGGGGAGAGAAGAAGGGTGACGGGAGGGCATTTCGCGGAGAGCGCGAGGGCGATGAGGTGGGTGATGGGAAGGGAAATACGAAATGCGACGGGCGAGCATTTCGGGCCGAGCGCGAGGACGACGAGGTGGGTGATTCGAGGGTACGAAGGGCGCGGGGAGGGCGTTCCAGATCGAGCGCGACGGCGACGAGTTGGGCGATGGGAGGGGAGATTGGGAGGGGGAGGAGAGAGCGATGGCGACGGGAAGGGAGGGGAGAGAGCGAAGGAGATGGGAAGGGCGAGGAGAGAGTGAGGGCGACGGGAAGGGAGGGGAGAGAGCGAAGGAGATGGGAAGGGCGCGGAGAGAGGGAGGGCGACGGGAAGGGATGGGAGAGAGCGAAGGAGATGGGAAGGGCGCGGAGAGAGGGAGGGAGACGGGAAGGGAGGGGAGAGGGCGAAGGAGATGGGAAGGGCGACGGGAGATGGGAAGGGCGACGGGAGATGGGAAGGGCTACGGGAGAGAAGGGCGACGGGAGAGATGGGCGACGGGAGAGAAGGGCGACGGGAGAGATGGGCGACGGGAGAGAAGGACGAAGAGGATGGGCGACGGTAGAGAAGGGCGACGGGAGAGAGGGAGGGCGACGGGAGAGAGGGAGGGCGACGGGAGAGAGGGAAGGCGACGGGAGAGAGGGAGGGCGACGGGAGAGAAGAAGGGCGACGAGAGAGAGGAAGGGCGACAGGAGAGTGGAAGGGCGATGGAGGGCTGATTGGTCGACTGCGAAGGCGACGAGAAGGGAGCGGGGACAATGGGGGCGACGGAAGTGGAGGGTAACAACGAAGGAAAGACAGGAAGGGAGGGGGACGAAGATTGCGCGGGGAGAGAGAACGTGAGGGTGACGTGGTGAGGGAGGAGCGAGAGTAGTCGAGGGTGACTGGATATTGACGTTTGCGCGCCACAGAAATACTAACCTTACGCTAGTGGTGTAAGTATTGCATTGCGTACCCAAGCTACCGTATGGCCCCGGATATAAGCGCCGTCCGTTTAAGGGCGCCGGCGCTTCTATCTGGAGCCATGCGCTTATGGCGGCGACTCGATTATAAGCGCACCCCCTGGAAAACCTTTACATATTATAAGCGCACATACATTTTTAAATTAAGAATCTGTTTAAAACGGTATCGAATTTCGTTTTTGCAGCGAGTCAAACTTAATTTTCGCTTCGTTTGACTCGCGAAGACCTGACTGGTTGCACGTCCAGTCAGGATGTGCTGGAATGCCTGCAATGTGACGCGAATTTGTCAGTGTGCAGGCAGCAGAATCGCTTGCGCGCGATTCTGCTTTGTGACTCCATATAATATCGACTCGGTTGAAATGGGAAAAATGAAAGGTACAGTTTGGTACCCTAAAAGTTTAAATTTGTATTAACCATTATATAAGCACATGCGCTTATGCCCGAAACTCAATTATAAGCGCCCCCCTTCAAAAAAACAATTTTATTATAAGCGCATATGCGCTACTATCCGGGGTAATACGGTAAGTCGATAGAAAACACACTCGAACTACGTAAAAAATCGCGTTGGGCCTGGGACAAAAAACGACTGAGATTTCAACTAGGCATAGAAGTAGTGGCTACTGGAGAACTAAAAAGAGTCGTGAACCCAGCTCCAGCTTGAAACCATAGTTGGGCCTAGCGACCAAAACCGTCGCCTGCAATGGTCGTGAGGGTCCAGCACGTAGAGATGCGATGGGTGAATGTTCCTTTTGGCGGGAGCCCAGAAAATGTTCCTTTTGGCGCTAGCCAATCACATTTGTTCGATCTGAACGCTTCTGATGTGTTGTACAGTGTTTTGTTGGCCCGATCCCTTTCTCTCGTCGCAACACCTTTTCAAGTTGGGTCGGGGTTCACTATTTTGCATTTCAGTTTTAATAAGCACTTAGGGTGGTTTGGTTGAATATTTTAGTCCTCCATCTACAAACTTATGCCATCCTATATGGTACAGCTCTTAAAAACACACAAATCCAATAATAATTTGTTACGCGAATAAAGTACCAAGTTGTTGGTGTCAATGAATCCTGAGGATCTTTGGTATCTCCATGCTTGGATCCATAAAAATTTAATGGTAGAATCATGAGAATCTAGAACTTTTGAGAGATATAGGAACTGTCTCTAGTTAGCATATCTCCTTTAATTAACTTGAGAAAGACAGAGACACATATGAGATGTTGGAGAGATTGATGGTCTCAAATGGACACTGGGGAAATCGTTGCTATATACCCTAACACTGTTTACGTGTATTTGATGCGTGTTGTCCTCGTCCACCCCCCGGCAATATCGAGAATTGATTCACCCAGCGGCATCATCGCCATCAATCAAGAATGATCAACCACCAATGTTCTATGGCTTCCTTTCGTTCAGCCATAGTCGCTTTCAGCGGCTCCACGCACACGATGCTATCGGCTAGAAAAACTTGTAGATTTCTCAGTGTTTTAGCTTAGAAACGTCGCTGGTTTGGAAGCTTTCATTGCAAAAGGACGCGGTTTGCAGCCTTCGCGAGCGCGACGGGAGTTGTCGCGGGATGAATAGCATGGGAACGGCGGGCTGATTCCGGCTGCTACAAGCGGCCAGATTCTCTTTGCTCCCCTGTTCAGTGTAATCAGGCAGCTTTTCTACTTGAGAATTGTACTCAAACCATCCTTCCCCACTGCCAGGCTCCGCGTTTGCAGATCCTTTCCCCGCTAGCTCCCCCTTCCCCGCACCCCCTTCCCCCCCCTCCCATCTCCCGCCCTCTCTTTCGTGTCTTCCGTTCGTCCAATCATCAATTCGACTCGGCCGTCTCAATCAACCTTCAGTCGCCGTCACAGTCACTATCAGAGTCACCGTTTCACTCAACAACGCCTGACATCGTAGCTCCACCACTCCACCAACGATGCCGCTGCGCGCCGAGTCTCGCTCCGCGCACGTGTCCGACGGCGCATCCGTCCACGTCACCAGCCCGCACCGCGCCATGCTCTCCTTCCTCTCCGGATCTACCGCCGTCGCAACCGCCACAGGCCGCAGCGCAGGCCGCAGCCGGCAGAAGAAACTAGGTATAGGCGTGACAGGCGGCGTAAATTGCGGAGAGGAAGGATTGGAACTCGTTCCCCCCCATGGCAGCAGCGCCGGTGCTGGTAACCCGATTTCCCACTCCTCCTGGCACTTAGCTAGAAGGGATCCTGGCCTAGGAGCTGGTTTAATTGCCAGTGGCGGCAGCGGGTTTAGCCTAAGCGGCGGGAGTAGTTTCCACAGGAATGTTGGGTTAGGGGTAGCCGGAGGGGGAGGGGGAGGAGGGGGAGGAGGAGGAGGCGGAGGAGGTGGGGGAGGAATTGGTATGGGTATTGGTGGTGGTGGTGGTGGTGGGAGCGGAGGAGGGGCGATGGGTATGCATAAGCTGGTTCAGAATGGGTTATCTACGCTAGGATCTCTGCTGGTGCTGGTGCTGGTGCTGGGTCTGGTGGGATATCAGGCGGAGATTCACGAGACTCTGATAAAGCAGACTGCGAGAGTGGGGGCTGCGGCGGCGGCGGTGGGTGGCGGAGGGGGTGCAGGGGACGGGAGAGGCGGTGGTGGTAGCAGCAGCAGTGCGTGGCCGATTGGGTGCCCTCTGCCTCTCACGACTGACCTGCCTAACAAGGTGGGTGGCCCTTTGAGAAGTCTCAGAAAATTACCAGCTAAGTGGGTGGCCCCTGCCTCTCACGACTGACCTTCCTAACAAGGTGTGTGAGTGATGCGAGTTTTGAGATGTCTCAAGAATCGTTTCAAGAAGTTTCAACAAAGCAGCAGTGCTTGGCCGATTGGGTGCCCTCTGCCTCTCACGACTGACCTTTCGAACAAGGTGTGTGAGTGATGCAAGGGACACGATTGACTCTTGAGGCGCCTCAAAAATCTACCTACGTTTGAGTCGACTCAAACGTTTCCTGCTGGTCGAGTGAAAGAGAGCTGCTTTTTTTCCCTCCCCTCTCCCCACCTAACCGCCCTTCCCCCCCAATCCCCTCCAACCTCTTACCATATGCGAGCTTGTGCTTGTGAATGCGTGTGTGTGTGTCTGTGTGTGCGTCTGTGTGTGTGTGTGCGTGCGTCTGTGTGTGCGTGTGCGTGCGTCTGTGCGTGCGTGCATGCGTGCGTGCGTGTGTGTCTGAGTGTGCATGCGTACAGACTCGTCTAGTGGACTCCCCGCAGCCGTTTCAGCTGCGAATCAAGCTGCTCGTCTCATCCCGCAACGACCTCGCTTCAGTGTCTCGCACTCTCTCATCACTTGCAGCTGTTGACTATGATGGAGATATTGTTCGCCTGCATGTATTTGTGGACCACTTTCTCTATAATGCGTATGGAGGAGAAAGAGGAGGGGAAGGGGGGCGGGAAGATGGAGGGGGAAGGCAAAGACGAGATGATGGGGATGGGGATGCTGATGCTGATGCTGATGCTGATGGTGATGGTGATGGTGAGGGTGATAATGATGCTACTGACAGAAGGAGCAGGCGTGGTGTTGTAGGCAAGGCGGAGAGACGTGCTCGGGAGTTGAGAATGCGAGAGGGAGAATCAGAGGAAAAAACGGAGGCAGGCAGTAAAGGCGACTCCATCAGTGGCAGCAGCAGCAGGAGCAGCACCATTGCTGCCAGCGCTGCCAGTGCTGCCGGCAGTACCGGCAGTGGTGGTGACGGTAGTCGTGACGGTGCTGGTGGCAGTGGGGAGGAGAGTGCTGCTGCAGAGGTGGCAGTGCGGTTGGCGAGAGCAAGGGCAGTGTTGGAGTATGTGGATGCCTTCCCATGGCCGCATGGGCCCAAGGACGTGCACTACAGGTGTGTGTTGTCTGAGGCGCCGTATGAATTCTTTTGTTTTTTTAGCCGCCTGTAGGGCCTTTTACCGTTCATGCGCCTCAGGAGGGCAGTGTTGGAGTATGTGGATGGCTTCCCATGGCCGCAGTGGGTGGAGGCGTGGTGGCTGGCATCCGGCCACGAGTTTGCTCTGCTGCTCTCCAACTGTGCAGGGGTGTCTGCCTTTTCCCTCATCCACCCCTTCATTTGTGCCCCCTCTCCCCCCGGCTTTATACTCGCAGGTCAGTGAGTGCAGGCGCACAGGCGCAGTGGGTGGAGGCGTGGTGGCCAGCATCCGACCACGAGTTTGCTCTGCTGCTCTCCGACCGTGTGTTGGTGCCTTCTCCCTCATTTACTCCCTCATTCGCCCCCCTTCTCCCCCCTGCTGTATACCCCCAGGTCAGTGAGTGCAGGAGCGCAGGCGCAGTGGGTGGAGGCGTGGTGGCCGGCGTCTGACCACGAGTTTGCTCTGCTGCTCACCGACCGTGCGTTAGTGTCACGGCACGTGTATCGATACCTGAGAGCGCTCGTGACTGCCGTGTATTTCCACCCGGATACTTCGGACCCTGCTGTGCTCGGCATGGCCCTCTCCCGCCCCGCCACCGTTGCCGGTAGGCTTTGAACCGAGGCAGGTGGGTGCTGGTAGCGCTGCTGCTGCTGCTGGTGCTTGTGCTTGCGCCGCTGGTGCTGGTGCTAGTTCTTTTCTTGAGGCTCCTCAAGAGTGTCACGGCACTGCTATCGCTACTTGAGAGCGCTTGTCACTGCTGTGTATTTCCACCCGGACACCTCTGATCCTGCTGTGCTCGGCATGGCCCTCTCCCGCCCCTCCACCGTTGCTGGTAGGCTTTGAACCGAGGCAGGTAGGTGCTGGTAGCGCTGCTGCTGCTGTTGCTGCTGCTGCTGCTGCTGTTGCTGCTGCTGCTGCTGGTGCCGGTGCCGATGCTGGTGCCGATGCTGGTGCTTGTACTGTGCTGGTTCCTCTCTTTATTGGGCCTCTCCGACCGTGTGTTGGTGTCACGGCATGTGTATCGCTACCTGAGATCGCTCGTGACTGCTGTGTATTTCCCCCCGGACACTTCGGACCCTGCTGTGCTCGGCATGGCCCTCTCCCGCCCCGCCACTGTTGCTGGTAGGCTTTGAACACAGGCAGGTGGGTGCTGGTAGTGGTGCTGCTGGTGGCAGTGCTGGTGCTTGTGCTGCTGCTGCTGCTGCTGCTGCTGCTGCTGCTGCTGCTGCTGCTTCTGGTGGTGCCGGAGCTGGTGCTTGTGCTGGTTCGTTTCTTGAGGAGCCTCACGATTATGTCTCTCCGACCGTGTGTTGGTGTCACGGCATGTGTATCGCTACCTGAGAGCGCTCGTCACGGCTGTGTATTTCCACCCGGACACTTCCGACCCTGCTGTGCTCGGCATGGCCCTCTCCCGCCCCGCCACCGTTGCTGGTAGGCACGCACACAGGCAGGTGGGTGCTGCTGGTGGTGGTGATGGTGGTGCTGCTGTCGCTGCTGCTGCTACTGCATACTCCCCCTTGCACCGTCCCCATTGCCCCCCTACTTCCACCAGGCAAGCGAGTCAACGAAGCCGGGCCTGCTCACCAACGCCGCGGGCCTTTTCCTCTACCGCGCCACCGACCCCCTCGCCCACCTGCTCCTCTCTCCCATGACCCGCGTCACTCACTCCAAAGCCAGGCACCCCACCTGTTGTGAGCACAATACAAGAATCCCCCCGATACACCTACAATCGCAAGGCCACCACCAGCTCTTCTTTTCCTCCTTCCCCCCCTAACTCCGTGCCAACTTTCCCATGGAACCCTCCCTAAACCCCCACTTACCAGGCAAGCGAGGCAACCGGGCCCTGCTCACCAACACCATGGGCCATTTCCTCTACCGCGTCTGTTTTTTTTAGATTTCTCAAAAAACAGTCTCTTCCTCTACCGCGCCGCCGACCCCCTCGCCCACCTGCTCTTCCCAGCTCCTCTAACTCACTGCCAACTTCCCTCTACACCCCGCCTCCCACACCCACCAGGCAAGCGGGGCAAGCAGGCGCTGCTCACCAACACGACAAGCCTCTTCCTCTACCGCGCTACTGACCCTCTTGCCCACCTGCTCTTCCCAGCTCCTCTAACTCACTGCCAACTTCCCTCTACACCCCGCCTCCCACACCCACCAGGCAAGCGGGGCAAGCAGGCGCTACTCACCAACACCACGGGCCTCTTCCTCTATCGTGCCACAGACCCCCTCGTCCACATACTCTCTCCAGCTCCTCTAACTCACTGCCAACTCCCCTCTGCACCCCGCCTCCACTCCCACCAGGCAAGAGAGGCAACCAGGCGCTACTCACCAACACCACGGGCCTCTTCCTCTACCGTGCCACCGACCCCCTCGCTCAACTCCTCTTCCCGCGGCCCTGGAAGGCCTTTCGCCGCTGGTACGACCAGCAGCGCTCCACAGGCGGGTCAGCAGCAGTGGAAGGCCTGGTTGCTGCGGCCGATGCGCCGTGGCAACGACGGCAGCAGTGGCGGTGGGAGCAGCAGGGGCAGCAGGGGCAGCGGGGCCAGCAGGGGCAGCGGTGGGAGTGGTGGCGTGGGGGAGAGGACGTGGTGTGGACGCCATGGGAGTGGGTGATGCGGTTTATGCACGCAGGGGCCTATGTCAACCTGTTTCGCGTGTTTCCCAGGGGAGGCACGCTGGCTGTTTCGCACGAGTGAGTGTGCTGTGCTCTGTGGTTCTTATGAGTCGGGTCGGCCCAAAGCTCAGAAACCATCGTCTTCCTGCTTCCTTCCTTTCTTCCCTTCTCCCCCGCCCCCGTTCCCGCCCACCCCTCTGGTCCGGCTTGCAAACTCTCTTTCTTTCAACCTGCATTTGTCAGCTCACTAGCGCAATCACCACCACCATGTGACTGAATGCGTTCACTGCACTGCATGACCATATGTGCATGTGCATGTACATGTGCATTGTATCACATCGCATGGCATGCAGGGACATGGATTCGCCATACACAGGAACAGCAGGCATGGTATCAGAGCTGGTGAGCGATGAGGCAATGGCGCAGGGAGGAGGAGGAGGAGGAGGAGGAGGAGGAGGAGGCGGAGAAGGAGGTGGTGGGGGAGGGGGCGGAGGAGGGGAAGAAGTAACAGCAGCGGCAGCCACGGATGACACATGGTCCTTCCCACCGCTCCGGAAGCTGCGTCGCTTCGACCCCTGCTTCCAGGTGAGCCGAGCCGAGCCTGTGACATGTGACACTGTCCTCTGCGTTTCTAAGTTTTGAGACGCCTTGATACTCGATACGTGCGGCGACTGGATTTTGATTGAGTCGTCGACTCAAGTTCAGGCTGCGTCGCTTTGATCCCTGCTTCCAGGTGAGCCCGTGGCATGTGACACTAGCCAGTTGGTGGAGGGGAGGGGAGGAGAGGGGAGGGGAGGAGAGGGGAGGGGAGGAGAGGGGAGGGGAGGGGAGGAGAGGGGAGGGGAGTGGAGGGGAGTGGAGTGGAGTGGAGTGGAGTGGAGTGGAGTGGAGTGGAGTGGAGTGAAGGCATCATAGTCTCTCTTCATCCTTCACTCCCTCCTCCCCTCTCTTCTCCGCCCTCGCCTCACGCCACTCGCAATCCAAAGGGCACCATGTCTCTCCTCGCCTCTGCTGGTTAGCTGGCATCGTGTCTCTCACATCTGTGACCTATCAATCGTGTGGTCTCTCCCCTTCCTCCTTCCCCTCCCTCATCCGCTTTTGAGTCGACTCAAAAGCACCTTTGCTGGTTGGCTGGCATAATGTCTCTCATGTCTGTGATCTATCAATCATGTGATCTTTCCCCTCCTCCTTCCCCTCCCTCATCCTCTCTCCCATCTGCTGTTCCACTCCCCCTCCCCCCCTCTCATCCGCTCCCTCCGCTCCATTCCCCTCCCCTTTCCCCCATCTGTCTCAGGAGTTCTCCTCCTCTCGCCTTGCTCGCAGCCCAGAGGACATAGCTCCTCTGCTGGCCTCAGTTCACCGCCGCTCCACCATCGTCCTCGTCAACGCGCTCCACGCCTCCACACCATCTCCCACCACATTCCACTCCTCGCCTTCCTCAACTGTTTCCAGTTCTTCGGTCCCTTCGGTCACTCCACCCGCTTCGCTCGATTCCTCCGCTTCCCCCGCTTCTCCTGCCTCTCCCGCACTCTCTTCCTCTTCCTCCGAAGCTTCGTCTCATCCTTCGCTTGATCCCTCATCTGCAGTATCATTATCACCTGCTTCCTCATCTACCTCATCATCAGCGCTAGACTCCCCTGGTCTCGACCCGTTACTGGCGAACTGGCTGTGCCGTGCGGCACGCCTGCAAGTGTCCAACTACGTGGTGTTGCTGGATGATGGGCCGCTGGGTGTGCACCTCACCCGACAAGGCCATGCCGTCATGCAGGTATGTGTGTTTACATGTGTGTGCTCATTCCCTGCGCTTGACCCGCTACTGGCGAACTGGCTGTGCCGTGCGGCACGCCTGCAAGTGTCCAACTACGTGGTGTTGCTGGATGATGGGCCGCTGGGTGTGCACCTCACTCGCCAGGGCCATGCCGTGATGCAGGTAAGCGTGTGTGTGTGTGTTCACTCCCATGCAGCCTTCCAATCCAAATGTGTGATGTATGTGTGCTCTTTGCCTACCTCCAGGCCCCAAAGCTCCTCTCCTCCTGCTCTCACCTTATGAGGCGCCTTTGAGGCGCCTCAAAAGTTGATGCAGGTAAGCGTGTGTGTGTGTTCACTCCCATGCAGCCTTCCAATCCAAATGTGTGATGTATGTGTGCTCTTTGCCTACCTCCAGGCCCCAAAGCTCCTCTCCTCCTACTCTCACCTTATCTCCTCTCTTCCTTCTTATGTGTGCAGCTGCAGCAAATCCAGGAGGCAGCGGATGAGAGAGAGTCAGCACTTATGCTAGAGGGCAGGGGGCGAGCCCCTTTGCACCGTATCTCCCCCGCACTCGACCCTTCCTTTACCCCTCATCCTTGACCTTTTGAATACACTCTTTCCATCCCCCCCCACCCTCCTGCACCCCTTCTTATGCGTGCAGCTGCAGCAAATCCAGGAGGCAGCGGATGAGAGAGAGTCAGCAGTCATGCTAGAGGGCAGGGGGCGAGCCCCTTCACGCAAGGTGGTGGGTCGGGTGACCTTGGAAACACCTGAATCGCCAAAGTCAGTGTCATTGTACGGAAACTCACATTCTGTTAGAACCCTGAAGTCCCTTGGGGATTCTGCGAGCTACCAAAATGCGGACAAAACTTACCGGAATTCAGCAGGGCAAGCGGGAATGTCGGGAATGCCAGCACGAGCACACAGGCTTGGGTCAACTGCCGTATCGTCACAACAAGGGTCGCGAGCTCCCTCTCTCGTATCTGCGACCGTACAAAGGTTGAGAGTGTTGCTGTCGCAGAGTTCCCGCGTCGTCCCGTCGCAAGTGTCTCGCAAAGCCGAGGAGAAGGGTCAGGCAGGGTTGGATGAGGAAGGGGACAGGCCTGTTCGGCTAACTTCTACCGGAGGACCTGCTGTCGGTGTTTCCGGGATTGAAGCAGAACGCTCGTCTGTTGCTGCTGCTGCTGCGTTTGCTGCTGGTGCGGATTTGTCTGGTGTTCCTTCATTGGGCGAGGGTGTTGGTACGGCACGGGGGGAAGTAGCAGGTGCCGATCTGATTGCGGCTTCTGCTGCTGCTGCTGCTGATGGTGGTGATGGTGGTGATGGTGATGGTAATGCTAATGGTGATGGTGATGGTAGTACAGTTGGAAAAGGGGAAGAAAATGGGGACGGATTGACAGGGGAGGAGGATGGGGACGAGTTGGCAGTGTGGGAGGCGGCGGGTCGGGCATTGGAGAGGCAGAAGCTGTGGCTAGATGGCGTGCATTCCGCCATACAGCTAGGGTATCACGTTGTGCTTGCTGATCCTCGCTCCGTGTGGTTATCTGACGTCTCTGCTGCTCTCGCCGATGCTGCTGTTGGCGCTGCTGCTACTGCTGCTGGTGCTGGTGGTGGTGGTGCTGGTGGTGGTGGTGCTGCTGGTGGTGTGGGGGCGAAGGGTGAAGAGGCGGGTGTTGTGGGAGTGGTGGTTGTAGGAGGGGCAGAGGACAGAGGAGCGGAAACAGGAGTAGGAGATGGGACTGAAGGAGGAGCAGGTGGGGATGCGGTATCCGGACCTGCAGGCAAAAAAACGGTGGTTGATGTGGAGAAAGGTGAAACGAGGCTGAAGGGAGTAAAGGGGGTTAAGGGAGAGACGGGGGTGGAGGGACCAGAGGGAATGGAGGAGGTAAGTGAAAGAGGGGTGATAGAGGTGAGGAACGCAGGCGGTGTGGGAGGCAGGAAGGGGCTGGATGCAGTTCAGTCCGAGAGGGAGGAAATGGAAGAGGGGGGGGGGGTTAGAGGGCAGTCGGGAGGAGAATGAAGAGGCACGCATGGTTCTTGAGACCATCGGGTTTGTATCACAGTCTACTACTCCTATCCCGAATGCGCATGCTCATTCCCATGCTCGTGCGGGTGCTGGTGGTAGTGCCGAGCGGGAGTTGTTAAATAGTGATGGTGATGTGAGCAGTGCAGCAAGGGTCGTGGACCGGGGCAGTGACAATGAAGGAAACAAGGGAGAGGGTACTGGCAGCAGCAAGAGCACCGGCACCACCAGCAGCAGCAGCAGCGGAAAAATCACCAGCGGCAGCAGCAGCAGCATTGGTATCAGCCTTGTGAGTGACGGAACAGTGGATTTGGCAAAAGCGGTGGAGCAAGGAGGCGCTCTCTCTCTCACGCTGCTGTATCTGCGCAGTTCAAAGGCCACTGAGCGTATGTGGGCTGCTCTCATGGCTTCCCACGAGAAACACATGCAGCACCTGCAAGCAGCCAAGCCTCCTTCCACCTCCCCTTCCTCCTCCTCCTCCTCTTCCTCTTCCTCTTCCTCTACCTCCACTTCACCCTCCTCGTTGTCCTCTTCTTCTCGTGGTACCAGTGCTGCTGATACCCCTGGGTCTGTGGCTTCTCCTGGAAATGCGACAGCTGCTGCTGTGAACGATGCAGTGGGAGAGGAGGGAGGAGGGGGTGACAGCTCCTTGCACCCACCACTCTCGTCACAGAAACAGGAAAGCTCCAGAGTTGAAAGTGCAGCAAGAGAACAGACCAACCCCGCCACCACCACCACCACCACCACGATAGTTGGAGGGAGAGCAGGTGCAATAACACAGGATCTGGTGGCGAAGAGGTGGGGTGTGGGATGGGATAGGCTGGGCCGGTCAATGCTCCAAGCAGCCAAGGCCACTGGTGTTGTTGTCAGGAGCTTTCACCCAGACGCTGTTGTTGCACTGTCGCGGTACCAAATGCTGCTTCTGGAACAGCAGCAGCAGCAGCAGCAGCAGCAGCAGCAGCAGCAGCAGCAGCAGCAGCAGCAGCAGCAGCAGCAGCAGCAGCAGCAGCAGCAGCAGCAGCAGCAGCAGCAGCAGCAGCAGCAGCAGCAGCAGCAGCAGCAGCAGCAGCAGCAGCAGCAGCAGCAGCAGCAGCAGCAGCAGCAGAAGGAGCAGCCCTCGCATTTGAATAAAGAGGAGGATGGTGAGGAGATGGGGGGAGAGGAGCAGGAGGCGGAGCTGAAAGAAGAAACAGAACTTTCAAATAAAAGAGCTCATAGTACTCGCAACACCAGTAGCGTGAAAGCTGGGCTTCTTTCTACAGCCAGCCTTGCAGGCAATAGAAGCCACAGGTCTGCGCTTGCTGATGCTGCTGCTGCTGTTGCTGTGGTAACACTTCCGGTACCCACACAGCCTAGCATCGCAGGGAAACATAACACGCAAGCAGGGAAGGGTGCAGGGGGGGTATCGGTTCTAAGAACGCTAACTGCTGCTGACTTGTGGGAGGTGGATGAGGACTTGGCGTGTAGAGAGGTGATATGCACTCCTGTGCCCTCATGACAGTAACAGGCTTGAGCTGAGAAGGGAACTGTAACAGGATCTGATCGTCATGCCCTCATCGTATCATCATGCATGTACAGTGTACTGTGTACAGTACACCATTGTAATACCATGCTCATGTGAGCAATTATGTCCATGTCTCACTCCAAGTCTGTTGGCATCATATCATAGACACATCTTGGCCTTCCCACCCCATCTACCATCCATGCCAATGGCCTTCCCACCCCATCTACCATCCATGCCAATGGCCTTCCCACCCCATCTTCCAAACATCACATCACTGGTACTGTTGTGTGGAGTGAACACCTACCATTGATGCTTGCATGAATCCATGCATGTTGGCTGGCTTATGAAGTCTCTGTCCCTTTGACTGGAACCGCTGGCTACAATCTTACAGTAGTTTGTTCCTAGTCTGAGCTCACGGTCATACCGGTAGCTTCCCACTACCCAATTCAACCCATGAAGTCAACCAACCAGCATTCATTCATCATCATGTATGGTACCGGTAAAAAGAGAGCCACATGCATCTTTTAAAGACCAGCACTAGCTGGAACAGCATGTCGGGAAAAGCTTTTACCGGTACGGTACAGTAAATTGAATACACCAAATTGGTGCCCTCTTAACGAGCTGTGTACATATAAAAAGTGTTAGCAGAGACACTAAAACTCTATATCTCCTCTCCTCTTCGGCCAAACATGCACAGATAAGCGCATGCATTTGGGTTGAAATCATTCCAGAAATAACTGACGCTCTATTCCCACCTACCATAATCCCACCTGCTCCTCACTAACTAGACACGTGCACTTGCAGCAGCAGCAGCAGCAGCAGCAGCTAAACAGCAAGATCACCACAACACCAGCAGCAGCAGCAGCAGCCTTAGCTGCTAGTCCTCCTACACGTGGCTTGCTAACCACCACCACCACATGCAATCCCGAACTTCTTGCTGCGCATGCCACTGCTGCTCCTCCTCACTTTACTCCACTGTCCTCCCCCTTCTCCTCACTTTAGTCGAGATCAGCTACATACTGTGTGTCCCACTAAGGAGACCACTCATCTATCTTCAGAGCAACCAGCAGCCAGAGCAGTAGCTCGGAACAACACCATACACCTCTCTATCTGTACCCTGTACGGGGCGACTAACTATCTGCCACTATCCTGCCGCCGTCTCATGCCCACTGCTGCTGCTGCCGCTGCTGCTGCAGACCCTAAGAAACCATTCGTTGCCAGAGGCAGCAAAACAGGCTGCCTCTTACTCCTTCCCTGCTGCACACACCGATCATCCCCATATCTACCTACACCTGCACCATCCTTAACCTCTCTCCATCTCTCTGTCTCTCTCCCTTGCTCTCCCGGCACCTTTGAGCGAGGTGCCATACACCCTTCATACACACAGCCTTCATGAACCACCTTCCTTTCTGGACCCTGTTTCATGGAGCCACGTGCATGCACCAATCCTTCAGTGGGCCGCACAGCACGCCACAGCACCATGCCGTGCCGCACAGCACCTCACAGCACCGCACAGCACGCCTCACAGCACGTGGACATAGGGCGATCCGGATCCTGCTGAAACCGAATCCTCCTCATACCCACGCGTGTTGCTCTTGCTGTATGGGAACATATTTTCTGCCACAAGGGGAAAAGGAAAAAGGGGATGGGGTGGGTAAATGGGAAGGCATGATTATGACACGGGATGACCAACGTGGGTGCAGCTCAAATGATGGGGAATTGAGTAAAGAAATATACATGAGGGGTAACAGTGGGGAGGTCCAGATGAGTAATATATAAGTCAGCAAAAAGAGCCGATAGCAACGAGAGAAAGGTTTTCAAGGAGGGATAGAAACCACTACGAGGGGGGGCACGTACGATGCATGAGCTCGCTGTCTGAAAACACCATCTGGCGGCGCTGCTGTCTCCGCCACACAAAGACGCCTCCCGCCACCAGCAGCGCCACACCGCACAGCACCGCAATCACAATCCCCACCACTGCTCCCGTGCTCAGCCCACCACTCGACGAGGAGGACGAGGGGGAAGGCGGGGGGAGCGGAATGGCCTCGAACGTGCCGGGCGGGGCGGAGGCAGCAGCAGAGTCGCAGGATTGGAGACCGTCCGTGCCACAGAGGTAGGGGTTGTTGGCGAGGCTGTATAGGGCATAGGTGGGTGGGTAATGGGGGGAGAAGATGGGCGTGGGTGAGGATTCAGGGCGGAAGAGAGTGAACAAATGGCACGGGAGGAGGTGTAGTTAACACTCGACAGTGCTGAAAATGTGCAAGAAGATTGGCTGCAGGCAGAAAATGTTGCTGTCTGTGTGAGAGAGCGGGGTGTTGTAAGCGCGAAAGGGCGCATGTGCATATCCGTGGATTGTGAGAAAGAGACTGCGGTGAGGAGAGGAGAGGGGAACAGACCTGAGGGTGAGGCCAGAGGGAGCGGGCACGAGTCCCTGGGGAACCCCCGCCAGTTCATTGTCGTTGAGGTAGCTGCGATGAGAGAGAGCAGACACACACATGCACAGTCAACCACACCAAGCACACACGCGTGGGGAGGGAGAGGTGGAGATGGGGGTACGGGGTGAAAGGCGAATGAGACGAGGATGGAAGCAAGAGAAGCACAGGGATGAACAGAGAGCTTGGAAGGAGTTACAACAACCCATACGAGGTGACTTTTGAGTCGACTCAAAAGTCAGGATGGAAGCAAGAGAAGCACAGGGATGAACAGAGAGCTTGGAAGGAGTTACAACCCATACGATCCGACCCCCACACCCCATATTCCCCGGATGCTCACAGTAGATGGAGGGATGGCATGGTTGCTATCCCAGCAGGAATGGAACCGTTGAGCTGGTTGTGTGAGAGGTCCCTGCCATTACGAGGAGCGAGAGAGAGAGGGGGGACGAAAGGAGACCAGAGAATGAGAACAGCAGCAGAAGCAGCATGGGTTAGCAAATGGCCTTGATTAAAAGCACAACGGTGCACGTAAAGCACGGTGGACGTACAGCGAGGCGAGGTGGGGGAGAGAGGAGATGGCAGCCGGAATGGGTCCCGTGAGGGCGTTCCCGCTCAGGTTCCTGCCACACAGCACCAACAGCAGCATCATCAACACCAGCAACAGAAACAGGAACATAAACAGAGCCACAGAAATGCATTCCGATTCCGATGCACAAGAGAGAGCCCAATGTGAGTGACTCAATCAAGTGGTGCCACTTGTATGATTGGAAGAATACGACGACTGAAATACGACGACTGAAATCCCAAGTGGTGCTTTTGTGGTGACGTGTAGCAACAACACTAGGGGGACCAGCGACATACCACGGAGACGGCTCCACCCTCACACGTGCACACTCACAGAGAAACAAGAGATGTCAGTTGTGAGACGGCGGGCGGAATAGAGCCGTTCAGAGCGACGTCGGTCAGCGATCTGCACTCAGTCAGAGGCACAGGCCAACGCAGGAGTGGGAGACAAGGCAAGCAAGGGAGGACGGAGGAGGGAGGGAGAGAAATAAGTGACCTGACCACCGAGGGAGGGCTGAGGAAAGAAAGAAGCGCCACCGACAACCCGCCACAACCCACTCCTCCGTGGGTGGGACTTATCCCTACACCACAAGCCCTTACGCTTCCGTGGGTGGGACTTATCCCTACACCACAAGCCCTTACGCTTCCGTGGGTGGGACTTATCCCTACACCACAAGCCCTTACGCTTCCGTGGGTGGGACTTATCCCTACACCACAAGCCCTTACGCTTCGAGAGACTTATCTTCCTCTCCTCTCCCCTCCTGCTTTACCCCCACCGCCTGCATGCCTTCAAAGCCTCCACGCCCCCCCCACACCCCAGAATGCATACCGCCTCCTCCCCTGCATACCTCCTGCGCCTCACCCATGCCGTCCCATGCTTACCAACTTCCAACCTCCTAGCTCCCCACCTGCGCCTCACCCATGCCGTCCCATGCTTACCAACTTCCAACCTCCTAGCTCCCCACCTCCCCCACCCTCCTCTTATCCAAACGTCACATTCCGACCGGCCCTTTCCCCAAACGTACATGATCTCAACCTGCGCCTCGCCCATGCCGTCCACTGTGCAGTTGACACCTGTCCACGCGAGCGGGAAGCACGGGTGCCCCTGCCAGCTCAGCGACTCGGGCACCTGCAGCGCGCGCTTAATCTCCGCCATAGCGGCCACTGGGGGGTGGGGGAAAGAGGATGGGGGGAACAGGGGGGAGAGGGAGGGGAGGGAAGGGCGAAAAGCGCAGAAGTGGGTGAGTAAGGAGAGCTCGAGCGAGAAAGCAGAGAGCGCGGAGAGGCGCACGAAGGTGCTTTAAGGCAGGAGGAAGGAACACGAGATAGGCAGGATGAGGGTACAAAGCTGGAGGGACGGCGAACAGGGAAAGCAGGAAAGCAGGAAAGGCTCAGGAAAGGAGGAAAGAGCGCGCCGAGCCACTCACGAGTCGCGTCGCTGACGGCTGGTCCTCGTTCCATGAGTCCATACACCTCCACGCCGCTCACAACCGGGGCCAGGGCCGATCCCTTATCGGCGCGCAGCTCCAGCAACACCCACGAAGCTTCCGGCGCCAGCTGGTACGGCACGTTCAGCGAAAACAGCGCGAACGGCCCCACTTTGCCGGCCAGGTCGATCCCCTTGCCGGCCGGAACCGGCTGGCCGTTCAAGTAGACGGAGAACACGCGCTGACCGGCTTTCACGCCGGCGCGCAGCTCCGCGAATCGCAGGAAGATCGCGAGGCCTTCCCCGGGCATGAAGGCCGTTAGATTGAACGCCACGACCGACCCGTCCGCGTCGCCGGCTTTCGCGGCGGCGCCGGCGGCGGTGCGCGTGCGCGCCGTGCGCGCCGTCTTAAGTAGCTCCAACGGAATCGCGTCCGGCGCCGCGTCAACGCCCTTCAACGTCGCCACGTTCGCCGGCAGAAACTCGTTGTCGCACCCCGGGTTACATCTCAGCGTTACACCCGGCATCGTTTCATCTCCCCACTGCCTGTGCCCCAGCTCCTTCCCCTCCGTCAACCCCTCCCCAAATGACT